GGGGGGGGGGGGGGGGGGGGGGGGGGGGGGGGGGGGGGGGGGGGGGGGGGGGGGGGGGGGGGGGGGGGGGGGGGGGGGGGGGGGGGGGGGGGGGGGGGGGGGGGGGGGGGGGGGGGGGGGGGGGGGGGGGGGGGGGGGGGGGGGGGAGGAACTGAAATAGGATAAGATGCACCGAACACAGAAATCAGTCCAATGAATGCGTTAATATGCTGCACACCGAAAAGAAGTTGGTACCTTCCGATAAGCTGCAAGAACTGAGACATGCCATTACAGTAGGTAGTCTTTCCCGAACCAGGCGGACCGATTACAACTTGCCCAAACACCATCTTCGTTTTCCACTCTCTTCCTCCACCCAAAAACAGGCCTTTCAAAATTCGTCTGCCAAGAAATTTCCCCAAATAATCAAACTGCAAAAAGTCGAATCTAAAGATTCAGACGCATCAAATGCTGAGTAACATAGGACGGAGAGGCCTGCAAAGCACACTTCAACTCGTTGAATTCAGCCAACTAGGGCTTTAGATAGCAGTTTTCCGCCGAAGAAAACCCGCGACGAAAAAGGCGGTTAAAAATAATTAGGTAAATAAACTTAAAATTATAATTATAAGATATAGACGAAATTTTAGGAGCATTCCGAGAATCCCGATGCAACTAAAATCCGTTACAAAAATATAATTAAAAATAATAAATAGGCAAAAAAAACATTAGGGGCATTCCGAGAATCGAACTCGGGACCTCTCGCACCCAAAGCGAGAATCATACCACTAGACCAAATGCCCGAATGTTATTAAGGTATTAAATTAAATAATAAAAATGACAGAAGCTCCTTCAACATCTAGCAAGAGCCATGTTTGAGATCCGAAGGGATCTAATTTTCTTTCTAATCTAATCGGGATAGCAGGATTAAAGCCCTTTTGGAGCTCTTTCGACTGGTGTAACATGGCTGGATGCTTCTAATCAGCAATAATTCTAAAAAAGAGGGATATTAACACACCACTAATTCCAAGAATCATGAATGATATGTTGGTATAAATTTGGTGTAAATTCGTGAAGAGTGCTTGAAAGGTCTATGGTGTTCCAACCCAATCATTCCAATACCCATGTTCCATGCCCACCTTCCCTCTCCCTTTCCCTTTCCCTTTAAATATTCTTTCAATACACAACTTTTGACAAAAAAATTCGAGAAGTCTTCCTTTCTCAACATGTACAAATGGCTGCTAAGCCATGAGTCCTATTAGCCATGGGGCAAGCTTGGTTTTTACTAAGTAACATTGATTATGTTATTTTCACATGGGTTGGACCGTTGTAATTGTTATTTCAAACAGTTTTAATAGGCTCATTAGTATTGTTTTTGGTGTTGAAAATCTTAGCTTTAATGACCAAATTGAGAGTGAAAAGAAAAAAAGAAAAGGAATAAAAGAGACAGAGAGGGGATTGGTTGGGTTGGATTGAGGTGGGTTATTCCAAGTTCAGACAAACCGATTACCATTTATGCCCTCCATCTCTAGATTTGTCTATTTCAATCTTGCTTCCATTCCCAATTTCTATCTCTCTGCCTCTTCCCCCCTTCCTTATCTCTTTCACATTGTCTCTTCTTCTTCATTTCTGAAGCACCGATTTGCAACAGCCATGGCGTTTGCAGGAACCACCCAGAAGTGCATGGCCTGCGACAAGACTGTCTATTTGGTCGACAAGCTCACTGCTGACAATCGTGTCTACCACAAAGCTTGCTTCCGCTGCCACCACTGCAAAGGAACCCTCAAGGTAAATCAAATATCAAATCAAACTGGTTTAGATTCCCTGTTTCTGGGCTCTCTTCAATTCAATTCATCCATATCATGAGATCTCAGATCGCTGCCTCCAAGCTTAATTCTGGTGGGCTTTGTTTAGATTAAACCATTCACTGATTACAGATCTGACTTGCAGCTAAGCAATTACAACTCCTTTGAAGGGGTGCTCTATTGCCGCCCACACTTCGATCAGCTCTTTAAAAGAACTGGAAGCTTAGATAAAAGCTTCGAAGGTATTAAGTAGGAAAAAAAGATAGATTTTAAATCTGTACTCTTCAGGTCAAACCAACATTCTTGGTATATTGATTTTAGGAACACCAAAGATTGGGAAACCGGAGAAACCAGCTGATTCTGAGGTAGCTAGCTAAATTTTGTTTGGTGTTTTCAACCCCCAAAATTTCTTGTTCTTTAAGGGTTTGCTCAAATGCATTTAACAGAGACCGACAGCGACCAAGGTTGCAAGCATGTTTGTCGGCACCAAAGACAAATGCCTTGGCTGTAAGAACACAGTGTATCCGACCGAGAAGGTAAGCTCTGTTTCTGATTTGGGTAATTGAAATAATTTTAGATTCAAAAGAGACCCATTTGAACGTTCGTTTTGTTGGTTCTTTCTTTCTCAGGTTTCAGTGAATGGAACCTCGTACCACAAGAGCTGCTTCAAGTGCTGCCATGGCAGATGTACAATCAGCCCATCAAATTACATTGCCCATGAAGGCCGACTTTACTGCAAACATCACCATACCCAACTCATCAAAGAAAAAGGAAACTTGAGCCAGCTGGAGGGAAGCCATTAAAGGACCTTAAGCTCGTAGGCCCTTTTTATGTGGCTCCATACCTCTCCTCCTCTTTAGTCCTGCTTTTACGCTGTTCCCTTTTGAATTTTCAGCACTACCCTTTGAAATTTGAATGCTTTTGTAGAACAAAAGAAGTTATCGTGTGGGTGTCTCTGGTTTTTCCCTCTGATTCCAGCCTCGGTTACTGAATTCAAAAATTAAAAATATTTATATTAAAAGCCAACATGTTGATCATCCGCCATTAAAGAACATCAACAGTCTCCAAAAGAGGCCGTTCGTTAATTTGTCCTTTTGGACGTCGGCATTCACGAACTATATGATTATAATTGAAGATTAAACTATACATAAACATATACCGATTATACGTAATTTGTAGACATGGGTTCTTTCAGAAAGTTCCAAAATTAACTAAGCTAGGCTATGGCTACGGCGAAGGCTACGCCTATGGATTTGTTTTACTCCTCCTCCTTTATACATCTTGATTTGATTATCAAACATTGATACAAATGGGTTTGGAAGCATTATTTTTCTCTCTTGTTTGAGTGTGGAACCTCCACGTGAAGAGGTAGTCTCGGGACACGCAAGAAAGTTTGATGACATCACAAAAGGCGGTGATGGAATTTTTCTTTCCATCACCGTTTACCCATTCGATTCTCACCCAGCAAGAGAACCCATTTGAGGAATGGGACACCGCCGCCGCATCGGAGAGGTGGAGCATCACTTCGCCGCCAATTCTTCTACCTTTGAGCCGTTCGTCTCCGGTGACCATCGAATCCAGCCACAGGCACTCTGGCTGCCCGATCATCTCCTTGTAGGCGGAATTCGCCATTCTCACTCTGTTGTTCGAGTCCGATATGACCGCCGGTAACACCTCGGATTCCACCTCCTTTTCCACTTCATCTGGTTTCTTCGGCGCCTGTGGAGTACTGCTGGAGCGGCTCGGGGTTTGGGCTTCGTTGATGCACCCAACACGAATGCTCGAGCCAACGGGGCGAACAGGGTGCGGGGTTATAACGTTGCAGGTGGAAACTGGACCTTGAAGTTGCCGCAACAGATCCTTCTCTTCGGGAATTTCAGGAACGACTGCACAAGCGTTAAATTCCATCCCATTTTCTTCATCAAAGGAGTTGACGAAGTTAAAATCAGAGCCGGCACTGGTTTCCTCAGAAACAGAGGACGGCGGTGCACATGGAAGAAGCGGAAGCGTCACAAGATTAGAATTTGCAGGCGCATCATCGAACCCACCAGCGCCATTAACAGATACAACAGAAAGCTGAGGAAGTAAAGAGCCAGAGCGAAAGGGGTGGATCGAGAAACTGGAGGGGGTAGTAGCCCTGGATCGCTTCAAGGCGTGAGGCGAAATGGGGGCAGCGCGAGGTCTCTTGCGGGTACGGGTGGGTCTGGCCTGTAAGTGTGGCCATACATTTCGAAGAAACGTGGAGGAGGAGGGGGGGATGTTGTGGGAGTGATCGGTGGTGGGGAAGGGGGAGGGGGGTTCGGGCTTAGGGGCGATGGGCCGGTATCTGGACATGATCTCGGCCGTCTTGTCAGTGGAGGTGAAGGGAGTGAGGGTCTTGATCATGGCGGTGGAGGCGAGGGGGGGAGGGGGAGGGGGAGGGGGGTTGGTGGAGGAGGGAAATGGGATATATAAGTTGAGGGGGGGAAGAATGGAACGGTGGGGAGTGGCGAATGGGGGAAGGGCAACATGAAGCAGGAAGGGAGGGGAGAGGGACAGGTGGGAGTGTACGGTGGGGTACGTGTAGGAAAAGAGGACATGTGGGAAGGGGTGGGGCCATGCAGAGCCAACGCATATCCAATCCAAGAGATGAGAATAAGGGGGGTGGGACTGTGAATCAATGGGCTTTGAGGGTAAGGTGGAAGGGAGGGATTGCGGGCCAATGCGGAGGGCGTTGCATGCAAAGGGGATTGGAGGGATGGCGGGTGGAGGTGTGGGGCGTTGGAAAAGCCGCCCTGTTTGTTTCTAGTTTTCGTTCAATGGTTGGTTGGAACTGGAAGTGGCGAGGAGGGAGGGAAGGAGGGTTTAGGTCCATAATTGAGCTGCCTCTTCGGTGAAAAGGAAAGAGGATACTAGTCTGAACCCAGTTCTTACAAGAAAAAAAACCTCTTTAATTTCCCCTTTGTTATTTTGTTTTGAATTTGATATGGATCGGCCTGTGTGTTGGGTTTGCAGCATTTTGTACTGATTCTTGGTTTCTGTGTGCTGATTCCTAGTTTGATTGTTCCTCAAATGGGTGGCGGCGATTTAAGACAGTCTTGCACTAGATTTTACAGCTACTCTTGGAATTCTCCAATGTCTTTAGCTTATTGGGTTTAAGAACTCGGGTTGGGAGGGACAAGGTGATTCTGACCCTTTTGTTTGTTTCGGGATTGAACACATTATTTCAGTCCTTGTTTGGGCCTAGACTTTCAGTTCTGGTTGTCCGTTCATATGCCTATCTTGTTTCTACCGTCTCGGTTCTTTTGGCTAAAAGATTATATTCGATTTCATTCACTTTGGTTCGGTGCGCATCCCTATCAGTTTCACGATTTTTAAAACATATCTACACCTTGGGGGCCAGCGACCTTGTACCCTTATAAGGGATGCTTCTTCTTTACCCTTCTTCCAATGTGGGACCTTACAACCAATGTGGGACCTTGTACCCTTATAAGTAAAGAATGGTTTGTTTCCCTCTTTAATCAATGTACGATCTTGCAATCCACCTCCTTGAGATTCAGCGAAACTCAGCGTCCTCGCTATCACAACGCCCCGTGTCTAACTCTGATATCATTTAAAACAATTCAAGTCTATCGTTAGCAGATATTGTCCGCTTTAGCTCGTTATGCATTGACAGCAGCCTCATAATTTTTAAAACACGTCTTCTAAGGGCAAGTTTCCACACTATTACCCTTTGAAGCCAGCGTTCCCGACTTTTGTAAAGAATGTTTCGTTTCCCTCTTACCTTATCTATTAATTCCCTTCCTACTGTTATTTGCTCTTTAAAACTAGCAAAGCGAGCAGAAATTGGACTTCCAGGACTGATCATTATAGTTTTCATCTCACAGGCAAGTAACAGTTCATGTTTATCCTCCTTTTCAGTTTCACAAAGTGCATAGAGGGTATCACAAACTTTTCTTGATTGCCTTGTGCTTTTGCACTACCTTCCTGTCCTCACTAAAAACAAAAAGCCCAGTTTATAATCACAAACCCACAAATACTCCATTTATCACGTATATTAGATGTTAATGTGTTTGGAATGTTGGGGAAACCAACCCCATTTATCACATGTTGGAGTGTCGTTCTCTAATGGTTTTTAAATGTGTCGGGAAAATGCTGGTCTACTAGCTATGACAAGAATTGGTGGCAGAAGGGTGATCCAAATATATCAGCTGGCTTCATGATTTTCTTCTCTGTTTTGGGTATGCTGGAATGAATTTATGGACAAAATATTGATACATTTTAAGCTTGGGAAATATCTCTACTTTGGTGAACAAGTTTGACTCGCTGTCATCATAAACAGGGAAATTTGGAGCACTTTTGGGCTCTGTTTCTCATCCAATTATTGCTGCTGCGTTGTATTGTGTCTTATTCGGCTATGTCTGTACGTACCCCCATCTCTCTAACTTGCCTCCATTTTTTCAATCCTTGTATTACATCTAATGACGTGTGGAATCTGATTCTAGAATTGACAACACCAGCCACATGGTTTGTATTTTCCTATGAATTATTAGATATTGCTTAAAATTGGTCACTGACATCCCCAGCCTCTTCTCCCCTTGGGTTTCTCCAATTCTGTAACTTCAACAGTTTCAGAACATATTTCATCTTCGTCTCCTCCTTTTTGGGTTTGTCAATACCACAATACTTCAGATAATATTATTACTCGGAGCACGTCCACTCTGGCCATGGATGGGTAACCAGAATGAGACACAATAAAGAATCAACTATTTAAGTGAATGTTTTATCTCCCTTCTGCTTATTTATCCAATGCTCGTTCCTCTTAGTCTGCATTGCATTGCAGTTTAATGATCTCGTGCTTGTGATCTTGTAACCGCTCAAACTTCTTGTTATGTATCGCTGTCAACTTTACGATTATAAAAAGTGTTTACTAGGGAGAAGTTTTGACACAATTTACTTCGTTCCCATCTCCAACTGACGTGAGATTTCACAATCCACCTCCCTTATCCCTTAGAGGTTAGCATCCTCATTGGCACACCGCCGGTGTCCAGCTTTAATTCTGATACCATTTGTAATGGGGAACAAAGAAAGTGTGTGGAAACCTCTCCCTAATAAACACGTTTTAAAACTTTAAGAATGACAACGATAAGTAACGAGCAAACTACATAGTTTTTCATTCACTTTTCCATTTCAAACTAAGAAAAGAAAATTGGAAATCAGTGGAGGATTTCGTTTTTTATCTGCTGAGTTTTTCTCCCTGGCAACTTGGATTGAAACAAAACCTATTAAATCAATCCAATCCATCAAAACTCGAGCTCACAAGAAAGAAAGAGTTGCAAAATTCAAAACCCATTTCTAATTTGAAGCTGAGGTAAAGAAAGTGACATCTTGATGAACATTTAGCTCTGTAATCTCACAAAGCAGTAATGGCTTCCCATTATTAGCAGCGCAGACTTTTAAACATCGAGTGTTTAATGCAAAAACGAAAAAGGCAGGTTTGACTTTAACTTAGCTAACATTCACGGATGTCGGATTGTTGTCTTTGTCCTGAAAGGAAAAGAAAGCAAGCAAGTGAGAGAAGAAAGAATCTTTGAAAAGGTGGAATTATGATAAGAGATGGCAACCAACCGGCCATGTTTGACCTTGCTTTCTCCCCCATTGCTTTAGGGACCATCTTCTTTACAACCAGAGCCCATACTTCTCGAGCCTTAGCAAGAATTTGGCGAAATTTTGGGTCACTTTTAAACGAGTTCTACAACTCAAACCACTAACCTGCAAGGCCATTTTCCATTCTCTTTTTCTTGTAATGGAACTGAACTGACAATCACATAACAGAGAAGAAGAAAAAAGAAGAAGAATTATGAGAAAGGGATGGGATTACAATAGTCAGCACAATGGTATACTATTGCTAACAATGGAGATGTATTCTTTACTCATATCATTCCCTAAATTAGCCAATGTGAGACTTCCTTTCAATAATCCTCGAAACAAAGACGGTCAAACCTAATAGGGACAATCCTCGAAACAATCCTCAAAACTAATCTCCTAAAAGGGGATTCGACCGTGGGGACCTGCAGAATCTTAACTTTTTTAGCGATTTTCTAATAGGGACACAACCTTTTGGCAATTAGAAGATACAAGAGAAGCTAAGTATGAACAGACAGAAAAAGCAGTAAATTCTTTCAAAAAAGAGAGCTCCATAACATCCCAAGCTCTCCATTGAACCACTCATAACCCAGTGAAGAATAAGAAAAAGAAGAAGAAGAAGAAGAAGAAGAAACCATGGCGATAGGAAAAGACAGAACAGGAATTTGAAAAATGGGATTTCCAAGTAAGATACACAGCAGTACACGATTATATGCTTGTCGGTTGTTTAACAAAAAATGGAAGTCTAAATCCTAATTTAACACATTTAATACCAAACAGCTGATAGAACACAAGAAAGAGAAGGAAAAAACAGGACACCCAGAAGAGGATAATGAGAAAAGACGATTGTTTTTATCGTCTTGTTTTGCTGATAGAGAGAAAAAGGCAGCCATGATGGGTCAAAAAAGGAGATAGAAAGAAACTGGTGAAGATTAGTCAATGGGATCATTAGGAAAAAGTAAAATCCAAACTTAACCAAAGCTGTTAATGGAAATGAGGGTGGGTTTGTTCCAAAATAGGCTTCAATTTTAATGGAAATGACAGCCCCACCATTGTACATTTTCAGGGGGACCTACTGTTGTCGCACATCCAAACGTTTGTCGCTTTAGATATCATCCATTGTTCTTGATTTCCCCATTGTTCTTGCCAACTGGCATCTCTGATGTGTCCACAAACAGAAAAAGGAAGCAAAAACCAAAAGATAAAACGAGGGATAAACTAAGTCCAGGACTTTAGTGTGATTGTTTTGGTCCCTTTTTTCCCCCTTCAACAGAAATGCCACAACGCAGAGAAAGAGAAGATGGAAATTTTTGTTATATAAACAATCCAATTTCCATCGCCTCTTCTGCTAACTGATACCAAAAATTCCCTCAAAGCCTAACCACTGAATTGCCACCATGAATGATTGGTCTGCTACACATTATTGCAGTGGAGGTGAATCAGGTTGGACTATGTACTTAGACCAATCCTATACTTCAGACCATCGTTTCGGCGGCGGGGTTGATGGGGTAAAGGAAGCAAAAGCAAGAGCAGAGGAAGCGGATGAAGAAGATCTATCAATGGTGTCTGATGCTTCCTCAGGTCCACCACATTACCTTGAGGACAACGAAGAATTGTTTTACAATAATGGGTATTCTTCCTATGCCTATTCAGCTTCAGATTCAACAATAAATTGCAGCAAGGAGGAGAAAAAGAAGAGCAAGAAAAGCAAACAAAATGGCAGAAATCAGCAACCTTCTTACCTTGATGACACTGCTAGCTCCCCTGTATATGGCTACGGCAAAGCAAGCGTAAACAACAGTTCCATCAGATTCTTCCGTGTAGATCCAAGAATTCTTCTATCGTTCTTATGTTGTTGATTGTTTATCGTGCAGAAAATTAAGGCAGCAGCAAGCAACAAAGCTTCGGAGGAGAATCCAGTTGATTTTTCTCAGGGATTCTCAGCAACCCACTTTAAGGTAAATCCTTCTTCTTCTTCTTCTTCTTCTTCTTCTTCCTCCTAAAATCGAGCAAGTTCTTTGATGTGTTATTAACTCAAAAGTGAAACTTTCATTACACACACAGAGAAAATCTGCAATGAGGAAACACCTAGGTTTTTACCGCTCTGAAAAATCAGCGCCAGAAGAATGAGGGTATTAGCGATTCCGCCGCAGCTTCCGATGCCCTTTTTGGGCCGTCAAGTAAATGAAATCAGAGGGATATTGTTCCTTTTATTATTATTATTCTCAATTTAATTTCCCCCCAATGTTTTAGGCTGTGTTGGCTTCTCTTTTCCACGTTCTTGTCAAGGCAATGGGAAACATGAAACACTAAAAACGGACCGAAAAATGGAAAAAGAAAATTCCTCAATGAATATATCCAAAAAGCATACATCTTAGATCTTAGTTTACTATAAACAGAAAATTCCTCACTCAATGAATACATCCAAAAAAAATTAAAACAATTGGAGTAATTAAGAGTGAATGGTTTGAATCTTGGAATTAAAGAAAAAAATAAATTCAAATACATATTATTAAAACAAAAAGAAAAGGAAAAAGGGATGTGGATAAAAAATAAGGAAGGTGGCAGCATATTTCCCACAAAAAATAAAAAAGAAAAGGAATAAATAAAGAGAGGAAGAAAATGATTAAGCAATAATAATAAGGGTCACAACTCAAAAGAGCAACTTTAATTTGGGGGCACTGGGAGATGCCAGCCTAGATGCCAAGTGACCAAACAACATCTGATTATTGAAGAGAATGGGAAAGAGACAAACATGTTGGAAGGAAGTCGAAAACGCAGAGCTTCGTCTAATTTCAAACCAGAAACGGACGACAAATAATGCAACCCCACCACTCTTGGGACAAGACAACTACCGACTAGGAATATGATCCATTAAATGAAACCGCTCCAATTATTATTATCATTATTATTATTATTATTTCCTATCTGCACAATAAAAGAAGAAAAAAAAATCCATCTTTTTCTCCGGAAAATTGCGCCCACATCTTGGAAACGATGTGGATTCTTGGTAATGGACAACTCTGCCCACTTCATTCTAACACGTCCAATGCCAATCCTCTTTGGATCATTGTATTAAAACATTACAAAGCTTGAAGAACAGTCCATAAATGGAGAACCAACCTCAACGGAGTAACCTGCAGTGCACGGTTCTTAACATCAACTCCAACGCAAGCTTCTTGGTGGCCACACATGAACAGATCGTTTATCTGAAACTACATTTCTGCACAATATCGTTTCAAAAAATATCCTTCTCGAAGATATGCATTGTATCACTTACCATTTCAATCTATATGTTAAACAAACACAAATACTTTCTGTGGGAACATTGAGAATTCAATGGCAATAAGTTGTAGTTAGTGCTAAAAAAAATCAGGATGTAGAGAAAGTCTTTCACCTGCTTAAGCCTGAAAGCCAGATCAATTTGCCACCGAAACTCCACAGTAGTATCTTATAAAAGATAACCTGTAAAGTATATTAATTATACTCCCAACTGTTGTTCATTCTGAATTAGCAGAGTATACTTCAAAAATATATAACCGTAGGTGAATAAGAATACCCTGCATTTGCACTGCAAATACTAACAAAGTAAAGAACAATGTGTTTGTTGGGGGTATTTTTTAGTTTTTCGATGGGGGTGGGGAGGGAAAGGCGGTATTGCAAGAACTTCTTAAGACTTAAGGAACTGCTTTTAAGTTCAAAAAAAAAAAATAATCAATAATACAATACAACACTCTGCTTTAGACGCTCAGATAACCCCCCTCCCAAGAACAAAATTGTAGGAATCGAGAGATGTCATAGAAAGAATGGTGGATTCCAACATTCAAGTATATCCTAGAAAACGCCTTTAATATGAGGACTTAAGTCCCATATATATGTCTGTGCACAGGTGGGGCATCGAAAGTGTTAACCACTTCTAACCATGGTTTTTCTATAATCAAGAGTGAAGTTTTGGAGAGGTGCCCAATAAGTAAAACAGGATCTCTAAAAGGAAAATTTTCAAAATTCTTTCTACCATGTGGTCTACCCTCTGTTTGGCAGTCTCTTAACTTTCGTTTCAGTTTTCCATTTATTGTAGTACCCCTTAAATTCTTCACCGTTGAATCTTGTCCACTTATCATGACATATTCATCATTTTGGTCCACCGACATTCTAAAGTCAATCAAGCACATTGCCCTACAAAATAAAAGATATTTTTTCAGTCAAACGTCAAAATGTATAGACTGAGGTAAGCAAGATCGAACAGAGATAAACATGAGTATAGCGCCAAGATTTCCTAACAATGAATATAGATCACTGATTCAATCAAAATCAACAAATAATCTGAACATGCAAAAGAGTGAAATGTATTTTCAAGACCCGCAGGGATAATGACACAATGGCTTTGTCATAATGTAATATCATGAAATACTTGGTCACAAGAATAAGCATATATCTAAGTACAACTCTTCTTCCCGAAAAGTAGACAGGATATAAAAGAACTAAAAGCTTAGCACACAACAACGTAGTAATCAACCACACAACGGTGCAAGTCTATCAAATTCAAGAAACCAAATTTCATTTTTACAAGGGAAAATTTGTTCAAGTACATTTCACTTCAGCGCATAAAACAGCAATGTAGAGCAATACCTGGAACTATACACAATAACAGGCAACGAAGTGGTAGATGGTGGGAAAGAGAGACCAATAACCTCCCCAGGAAATTCTTGAAACCTCTTCGGGAGAGCTTGTGTATGCCGCATTGACCAGTCTCCTAATTGCTTGGCCTCAATATCAAAGGCATAAATCTGATTGGAAGAAGTAGTGACTACAAGCACATTATTGTTCCATTGAGGAAAGCCTCCTGCTGTAATTGAGGCACCATCTAGTCTCGAAATGAACCAGTGTTGCCTGTTACAAGAGAAAAATAGTCCGTGCATAACTTTCTTGGAAACCATGAGAATGCAGATAGGAAAGGAGGGCAGTGATAAGCTGCTGATGAAACAATACATCAGCACAACAAGATAACAAACCTCAAAATCTCCATATTGAATACGTATAGATCTCCAAAGCAGTTGACTGCAGCTAACCACTGCCCATCTGAACTTGTAAATATTTTTGTTATAGGAGGTTCAGCGGGTGGCAATATATCATCCTGCTGCTCCCGGAAAGGCGTAAAACTATGTAAGACTTCCAAACTACTCACATCCACAACCTGTTCCCACGGGAAAGGGTAAAGAAATTAAATTCAATAGCACTCATAAATTGACCAACCAATCCACCACAGAAGCATCAAAGGTCTTTAATATTAGCTTATTCGTTCACCAGGAAAACAGAAATCAATAGAATGCAATTAAAGAGTCCAACATATCATCAATCAGCTAAAACAATTTCCCTCTCAACAGCAACATATATAAAATGATACCCTCATATTTTATTGAAATAATTTTACAAAATAATCCCATAAATTCATACCACAAAATGTCAAACGTGCTTCATGAAATTAGAGGTAATAAGAAAAATACATCAATACAAATCAGGTACTGTATCATAGATTGATCTAGTAAAGCAACTTACATATATCCTTTTATCATGCCCTGCTATGATTAATCGAGAAGAATCAAAACTGAAGACCATAGAATGGGCAAATGGTAGCGTATTTGGAAGTTTCCTTCTATTAACAGTCCACGAACATTTGCTTCCTCCAGATTTCTTCAATTCATATAAGTTGGGTTTGGTGTGATCAGAAAATGCAAACAGCTTTCCAGAGTTGGAAATAGTACTGCAGATAATCTTTCGAGATGCCTTGCTCTTAACTCGAACCAATAAATCTGCCTTTGCAAGTCCCTTAGAAGGGCCACAAGTCTTATCTCCAAAGGAACCACATTTTGGGCGAACACGCAGGATATCCAAAGAGTGAGCAGCCTGAACAAGTAATAATGGTGCTTGGTTGAAAACTGTATTGAGTACAAGTTGCATAGGTACCCTTTGCGGTGCAGGACATATATCATGGGGAGAAAATTTGGTAAATTCCTGAGCAGAGTATGCAAACAGCTTTGTATCATCACCGCCTGACATTAAAATTGGAACTCCCAGATGGGCCCACTTATGATAGCTAAAGACATTAGGCTTCCTCTTATGACGAATTCTTTTCACCTCAACATCTTGGGACGCCTCTGCCGCTTAGAAAAACAAAATCTAAAAAGTTTAGAAAACAAAAGGGATCATATTCAATCTTGATTATGAAATAAAGCTTCACCAACAAACAAGCCTAGAGTTCACCGCAGATGTATCAGATGAAAAATGCACAATTTTGGTATTGACAAAAATAACACTAACAAGGACAAAAACTAAAAAAAAAATACCTTCTCGACAAATCGGTACTGCAACAGTCAAAGCCCTGATATCATGAGTATGAGCCCTTACATGACCAACATAAATCCATTTCTTCATCATTTCAGAAGAATACTTGTCTTCACTAGATACAACATTCTCGTTAGAGAGCTTGTAGAGAATGACCTACAAAGACAATATATTCACAAGACACAAGCGTTATGGAATTTGATTTACCACATAGAAAGACCATAAAAACATTAACTTAATTCCTCAGCAACTAAGCCTGTAATTCAGGTCACCAGTGATTCCATTCATTGTTTGGGACAATGTGACAGTCTGATAAAATTGAAAAGGAATTTTCTCAACAAGAATGAATTTAACAAGCTCCAATAAGGAAAAAAAATTAGGAAAAATTATCAACTGATAAGCAATATGGACAGTGAACATTACAAACTAGCCCCTTCTTTGTTCACACACACACACACAAAAAACAACCTTCAATGATTTCTACTCGCCAAAAGAAAACACAGCTATTGCAACCTACTGCCTTCCACAATATATAAAAGTAATAAAATCAGTGAACTGTCAACATGATCAACCTCTAAGATTGTTAAAGAAATTTCAACTCTGAGCACACGGTCTGGTTGCCCTTCATCTCCCAGTCAGAATAGCAATAGATGGCTACAGGCTAAAACAATAGCTTGAGGCATCAATCCTTCACTCCTTTTGTTCTATACTTTCATAACTCAAGACTAAAGAAATCTTTGATTATTTTAAGAAATCAGAAAAGTAACATATCAAATGGGCATAGGCAAAAAAAAAAAAAGGATAATGATACAATAAGAATCTTTGAACATAAAAACAAGATTGCTGAGTGGGGTAGAAGAATCAAAATGTTCGCGAGGGCTAACATGATTGGGCAACATGCGAGAAGTGTACATAAGCACTTAATGAAACCATACAGAATGACCAAAATCAGTACCTGACCATCAGAGCCAGCAGAAAATACTCTATTATGATTAGGAGTAGCTGCAAGTGCGTTCACATCACCCTTGTGTAAGGTGTGTGCTTGCAGAAGAGTTCCATGATTACTATCCCAAAACTGTACACTACCAGTACTATCTGCACTAACAAGGGTACCACACCTGCAGTTAACAAGAAATTCCAGATAACAAATGCCTTCAGAATGGAAAAGTATAATGATGAATGGTGGAAGATATCACCTAACAACTATGCGATCACAAGAAGTATGTAATTCTTTACCTAAGAAAAAGTAACGACCATACACAAAGTTCTGATCCACTGCCCAAACCTCCAAGTCCAGCAGTAATTCTATAAATCTCATGCCCGAGACTAGCATTCCAGCAACGAATAAACCTGAAAGTAGTAAATGGAAAAGGGAAAACAAACAAACATGGGGTAACCATAACTTAACGAAGTAAATAGGAGAAGGATCATGTATTATATCAATTTTCATTGCAAGTAACAACAGGTGGTATGTGTACATACCCATCACTGCTTCCTGAAAATATCCGTTCTGCATCATTACTCCATGTTACACTTAAAACACGACCTGGGAATAGCAGAAAGACGAAGAGGGTTTAACTATCCAGCTAATAGAAAATAAAAAATGACATAGCAGCAATGAATCTGGGAATAGATTCTCACCACTGACCCTAGGCAACGATCTTTTGTAAATTAACTCCTCCCCATCACATATATTGTAAATCCGCACACACCCATCATCACAAGCAATTGCTAGAGAGGGATCCTCATCGCTAGCTTGGACATGAAGTTCAGATGAATTAGAATCATCTTCACTCTCACCGCAATCTTGGCAATCACTCTCGTTGACAGTTACATGCGCATTTTCAATTTCCTTGGGTTTAACCTCCCTGTGAACTTCACGACTATTACAGGGTGCTGCAGCAATTTGCCAGATGGAGAGGCCAATTGATTCTAAAACAGACTGAAAACAACAGCCATAAATCAAAACAAGCTTCTTAGGATAACAACAAAGCGAAGGGTTGCTTCTCAAAATCAATATGGTACTCCTAGAGACCAAAAGCCACGTTGGGATATTGACTACCGCAAATTTACCACTTTGGCTACAAATTTTCCTACCAATACTTCAATATCTTTAGTAAAGTTTAATTTCGATAAAAAGATCATAGGTAATAATCCTAAACTAATTGTGTTTCAGATGGCATTTCAAGAAGAAATTGAGTAAATAAACGCCACTATAATACTATATTGCACACGCGTGCTTTACATATCAGAAATACCACAATAACACGTTAACGGGAAGTCCGGAAGAATAAAGCAGATGAACTGCAGTTTTTAGAGGAAGCAAGAAGGTATACCTTCTGCGTTAAACCAAACAAATCCCACTCCGATAGAGAACCATCAATGCTGGACGAAAATAAGCGACCAGAAGGCCTATCTTTTGAACCGGCACGGCACCAGACCAGTGATGAAACCCTAGAAGTAGGGTCTCCATTAATCGTCTGTTTGAAAAGAAAGCAATAAAATCAAACTTCAGAATCAATTAGTCGGACTAAATGTTGAATGTATGATAGTCGATTGTACCAACTGACAGTGCCACCCTACGGAACCAGGAGACACAAGCCAAATCTCAAGCGAGGCATCTTCTCGGGCAGCTGCAACCTGAGAGCCATCGGCACTGGAGGCTAACGCTACTACAGGAGACGGCTTCCATTCAATTGAAGAATTCCGATAAAATTCAATCATTTTTTCCAACAAACAAAAGAAACTGAAGGAACGTTAGTTGATTGGTGTCGGGACGGACCGAGCAAGAACTTGGCAGAGGAAATGGGGCATCGAAAACAACTAGGTTTAGAAGAAGGGAAGCAAAAGAATAGGGTAATGGGAAGGGAAAGAGGAAGAGGAAGTAGGCAACTAGGTTTAGGAAGAAGCCGGGAAGGGTTTAAGAGATCAAAGTATATATGCCCGGTTCATCTCACAGTTCTCTGCTTCTTGAACTTCAAAGAACCGGTTTTTTTATTTCTTTCTTTTTTCCTTCTCTTTCTTTCTTTCTTTTTTCCCCTTTTAATGTTTTACTTAATAGAATATCAATTATAACCCCCAAATTCAGTAAAATTCCCATTTTTACTCTTGTCCACTTACTTTATTCGTAAAAATGGTAAAAATCTTCTTAAATTCGTTAAACATTAATAAAATAAATTAAAATGTTTTATCTTAAATTTTTTCACATTTTGTAATTTAATCACATTTTTTCTTTAGTATTCGCATTTAAGAGTTGAAAAATTATGGACCCAACATAATAAATTTAGGTCCAAATTCATTTATTTTTTTATTTTTATCTTTAAGTTCAATAAATTCATGGGCCAAGGCCCACAACTATTGGGTAGAGAATGTGTTGTTGTTGGATAAAGCGAGCTATTCTGCACCACACATGGAGAAGTGTTACGTCACCGAGTTCATGAACGCCATGGAAAATGGGATATCATCAATCATCAAGAAGAAGGACAATTCACAAACAAAGAAAGAAGATGAAGGGTTTGTTGGAGGACCTAAAGATCATCGCCATAGTTTCAATGGCGATGGTGCAGCAGCTGTACATGTGTGAATCAGGCAGCTCCCTCCACCCTGTGATCCTCATTCCCGGAGCCGGAGGGAACCAATTGGAAGCCCGCCTCACCAAAGACTACAAATCCTCCAGCGTATTTTGCAGCCGATGGAATCCTATCATGAAGGACACACAAGGATGGTTCAGGCTCTGGTTCACCCCCACCGTTCTGCTGGCTCCATACACCGATTGTTTTGCTCGGCGAATGACCCTTTATTACGATAGAGACTCGGATGATTACAGAAATGCAATTGGCGTTCAAACTAGAGTCAATAAATTTGGGTCAGTTCGGTCTCTTCTCTACCTCGACCCAAATCTCAAGTAAGTGTTCTTCTTATCTCCTTTCACTTTGGTGGCATTCGCGGGGAAAACGGGACTGTATTTTGACAGATTCCTGCTGGTTGGGTTGCCTTTTTCTTCTTGCAGGCAGATCACAACGTATATGGCCGGGCTTGTGGATTCATTAGAAGCAATTGGATATGTCAGAGACAAGACCCTGTTCGGAGCACCCTATGATTTTCGATACGGTTTGGCTCCAGAAGGTCATCCCTGCGCAGTGGGTTCCAAGTTCCTGAAGGATCTAAAAGAATTGGTGGAAAGGGCAAGCAGTTCAAATGGAGGAAAATCAGTAATACTCGTGTCTCATAGTCTAGGTGGCCTCTTCGCCCTCCAATTTCTCAATCGAAACCCACCCTCTTGGCGTAAGCATTTCATCAAACACCTTGTGGCCCTGTCGACACCATGGGGTGGATCAGTGGAGGGTATGCGCACATTCGCATCAGGGAACACCCTCGGCGTTCCCCTGGTGAATCCATTACTCGTTAGAACAGAGCAACGGAGCTCCGAGAGCAACCTATGGCTATTACCGAACCCCACAATCTACGACCGCAAAACGCCGATAGTGATCACTCAAAATTCCAATTACACAGTCGACGAAATTCCTCGTTTTCTCAAGGATATTGGCTTCGGGGAAGGCGTTTATCCCTACGAATCTCGCATAGTGCCCCTCATGGAACAATTACAAGCACCTGGAGTACATTTAACTTGTGTAATCGGAGGTGGTGTCAAGACACCGGAGACTCTGTCATACGGCGAAAACGGGTTCGACGAGCAACCGGAAATTGGTTATGGGGATGGAGATGGCACGGTGAACACGGTGAGCTTGCGGGCGCTTGAGCGATTATGGGCGAAGGAGAAGAATCAAACGCTGGAAACGATTGTTCTTCCGGGTGTTTCTCATAAATCCATCTTGGAAAACAGAGATGCTTTGGATGCAATAATCAACGAGATTTCTGGTATAAATTCTATGGGCTGCCGCCACACTCGTGCTGTGATTTGAGAGAGAAAAAAACACCATTTTTATTACATATAAAGGACGATCAATTTATTACATCCCAATAAAAATGAAAATTTACTAAATTATAACCCCATCTACAAGGGTTCTCCACTAATCCATCTACTAAACACTATACTGCATTCTTTTTGTGTGTATTCTGCTGTGTGCCCTCCACCCTACAGATATTTTACAAAAACAACAATAAATCATATGAATCATATGAATATATTATACATCAAATTTACTTACTTTTATGGTTGCAAATGTCATATTATTTGCATATCTTCTTGTATATCTGTCCAAAAATAAGATCTCAGACTAAAATTATACCAAATAATAATACTAATACTAATAATAACTAATAATAAAAATACCCGGCTACTTGGTTTTGGATAAACCAAGGTCTCCAGTCATCGACAATAGAGTAATTTAATTTTTTAATCCATGCTTCAGTGTCCATATGCGGTACCATCATATCGTGATCCCCGCTGTAGATTAGGTCATGAAAAATACTTACGATATAAATTGTCCAAAGAGAAATCATTTTAATGTATAGTTTGTAAATTACCTATAGATCAAAGACTGGTAGCCTTTAGAACTAAGGTCCACATGATAAGGGAAAGCACTCTGGAAATCATACTTGTAACTGTCCCTAACATTACATCTCATCCATTCTCCCACGCTTCCCTACAAAAGAGAATGAGAAAGAAAAACATAGGATTCGGAATATATTCATCTAAATAATCATATTATATTTTTAACCTCTCGGATGCGAAGTGCTTTTCGAACTTGATCGTCGTTCGCCCAATAAGTAGCAAGTTTGAATTTATAGGTCTGCGTAACCAACATCAACATCAAATTAATGAGATTTAAGCACGATTCACAGCGTTATGGGGAGAAGCAATCACCGGACAATCGAGATAAGAAAGCGATGGCTCGGGATCAAGGGACAATTCGGAGGTGTCGTATAGCAATCTCCCATCATCTCCACCTCCTCGTTGCTTCGGAGAAATAAACGTACATTTTGGCAACAAGATTGAAGCTCTCTCGATATTTGAAACACACTAACAAAGCAAATATAATCACATATCTATGCCCAGTTCACATCATTGCTTCAAGTACAACGGGCCTACATACCTTTTGGTACGTTTTATAATGTGTTAAACAATCCACATTGTTCGGATCAATATTCACGTACTCTCCCTTGCAACTAGAGGTCAAGGACTGCATACAAATCAATCATCCAATAATTCGTTCGTTGGCTCGTAAATGTTTTATTGTTTCCAAAAAAAATCATATTACCTCGAATAATTCATCGGATATAAGAGCCATTTTATGAGCATAAGGAATTTGAAAATTGGTATTTGAATTACGAATGGTGACTGGATTTCCCAATATATATCCCTGAAATAAGAAGAAAAGAAAAGGAAATATTCCTCAATAAGCAGAGCAACATATAGTAATATAACAGAGAAATTCCCATCATCACAAACCTGTAGATCTAGCAGCAATAAACCACGCTTATTTTCTGTGGCAAAGAAAAAAATAATAATAATTAGTAATTTCCCCACTGGATTATTGATATCAATATAATTATTTTAAAAAATATTTATATACCTTCTGAAACTTTATGAGCAATAGCTGGAATTACCATCCCAGAGTATGAATCTCCACCCACATAAAATGGATTAGATATAAATTCTGGATGATCAACTAACCACTGCAATTTTTATCATAAAATAAAAACATGAAAATGATTAATCTCAAACTATTTACTATTTTCCAATGATATTTGTTATTATTTACCTTTTTAAAAAATTGAATAGAATGATGAACAACGCGGGAATCTCCTGCCTCCAGAGATCGTGGGGTTGTGCCGTACGAGAATCCAGTTTCCACCGGCAAATCTACGAATATTATGCTCGATTTCTACCGTTCATCGCCATCTCAAGAGTTAGATCAACGGTGGTTATGATTGAAAGGCAAATTTTAAGAAAAAAAATTCACCTTTGTCCATGAATAAGGGTTCCAGAATAGCTGAGGCAAGCTCCCATTGTATAGCTCAAGCTTGAAATTTATAGGACCTTTAAATAAATACATTAAATCAGCAGTGTTGGCGTTGATGAGCAGAAGAACAAGAACACTTGATAGTTATACCAATTTCAAAGGCGAGTCCAGTAAAAGCCGAGCAGCCGGGGCCTCCGGTGAGCCAAAAAAGCAGAGGATCCGTCCTGGGATTCCCTTCAGATTTCACGAAATAATAAAACAATTGCACCTCCTCCAATTCCCCGACGCCCACATATCTGTTCCGTTTCAAAAAAAATTCAATCTTTAATATTTTCACTTAATTTAAACTAATTTTTACAGAAATAAAACTGACCCTGTTTCCAGCTCGAAGGGAAGACGACCTGGGAAGCCCGGCAGAAACTCCACCTTCGAATGCGACCCTGCAACGACGGCGGCGGAGATGATCTGAAAAAGAATAGAGAAGCGGAAGAAGAAGGTGGGCATGGTGGAGCGGTTAGTCAACGGCGGTGGAGGTGTGGAAGCGAGCGCTTGCTTCTGGCGTGGGTGTCTTGGCGATAATGGAATAATTTTATCCAACCTATGTGATCAAATTTAAAGGAAATTTTTATTTACGCCCGGGTACTTCATAATTGTTCCAAAAAGTCTTAACCGCTGAAATACATATAAATAAAAAAGTAAAAAAGTACAAGTGGCGTAGATTGCATGGAGATGACAACAATATTAAAATGAAAACTTTGAATAAATTAAAGTTTAAAGATTATGGGAGGACCTGAGAATCCCGGCAGAGACCTGACGGTCCCTAATAAGGCCTTGTGGCAGCGGAGACCACCTCAAAAAGAACAGCCAACAAGACGGGTATACGGCGGCGGAGGATCGTGGTCGTGGTGGGGGCGGGCTTGAAATTATTTGGGAGAAGATGAGAAGATCTCTTTATAAGAAAGCCCTTCTTTAAAACATGTCACATGGCACCATGAGGTTTGATCCCGTGGTTGCTCATAGTAAGAATGGTTGGATCACGTGGTGAAGCTGCCAGAGAATACGAAACACTACAAATAATTTACATTAAAAAAATAAAATATTTATTTATTCTCAATATTTAGACTATAAAATAACTAATCATTGAACTTGTTTTGTTTTAATGATATCATAAAAACATGTATATGAATGTATATGAAGTTGAATTTAACATAAAAAAAATAATTATTAATTTTAGTCTAAACTAATTAGGTAAGTAAATTTTCTGCTAGTTTGGTAGAATGAATAACTTGAAAATATGAACGGTGCGTTGTCTTGTAGCTCTCAGCATGTGGTGTCTTAAATAAATCACACTAATCTATCCCTAAAAAGAATTGACAGAAGAAACTAACTAAGAAATTGTCACTAAACATCTCGCTTTGGTATGCCATGTATTCCGGCGTGTGTCCTCCACCCTTAAAAAAGTCAATAAAAAAACACACCATCGATCATTTGCACAAAAAATAATGAAAAAACATTAATTTCGTTCTTACTTTCATTGTTTCAAATGTCATGTTGTTCGAAAAGGTTGCCGTGTGTCACAACCATAGTACGAAGAGAGTAGGTTGTGACCCTCACGCCATGACAAGTAAAGGGGCGTCCCTCAAGTAGGACCGTGACAAAAATCCCTATTATTAAATCATTGTCTGATAATATAAATAATATATACAAAAGTTACCCGAATACTTGATCATCCATCGCAAACCAAGGTCTCCAATTATCAACAACAGGATAATTTAGAGATTTGATCCACGTATATATGACAAATATAATAAAAAATCCACTCCATACAAAAAGTAAAAGGTTCAAACAAGAAATTTACTTGACAGTAGAGAGGAGGCGGAAGCAACGCTCTTGGAGCAAGATGCAGTTGTGCTTCAGAGGAGTTGAAGAAACGTCCTCACAAAAAGGGCACGTAATTCACCAATGATTGATTCTACTCACACATTATAAGAACATGAAGAACAACAAACAACACCAGCTTCAAGTTAAGAACATCATTAACGTTGTTATAACTCCAATGAGACAAACCTTTTTGAAGGCTGCTACACGTTTCATGCACTCCATGCTATCTGGCTCAACGTTCTCATATTCTCCTTTGCAATTGCTTCTCAATAACTATGCAACAATTAAATAGTTAAATAATTCCTCCAATTCTCTCAATTCTTAATGTTTTCTTCATTATATTACCTCGTATAGTCGAGTGGGGATGAGGTTCATTCTATGAGCATATGGAACTTTGGAATTATCATTTGTTTTACGTACAATGACTGGATTTCCCAATATGTAACCCTTTATCAAGAACATAAAATGGAAGAGTTAATATTACAAATGCATTGAATGAACTCGAATGGGTTGTTGAACAGACCCGAAGGTTTATATGTGGGACAACATCTTTATTTCCTATGAACAAGCAATGAATACTCTCGTATACCCATTTGATTGACATGATATCAATAAAAAAAGATCTCACAGCTAGCAAATATTGTCTTCTTTAGATTTTTCCTTTTGAATTTTCCCTTTTAGGACTTGGGGGCTAATGCATTTCTTATAGAGGTGTATAATTATCTCTCTAATAGACGCGTTTCAGAACGATGAAGTTGACAACAATATGTAACGGGCAAAAATGGACAATATCAACTAACGGAAAATGTAGTCTCTTACTTGAATATATGCATACCTTTCGAGATTACTAGCGTAAGAGGTAGAACAACAATACCAGTATACGAGTCTCCACCAACATAAAATGGATTAGACAAAAGTTGGGGAAGATCTATGAGCCACTGTACAATTCCAGTTCATATTTCAATGTGTTAAACTGAGAGAGATTTAAAAGTTTCATGTTGAGTATTATATATACATTATTGACCTTTCTCAAAAATTGACGATTTCGTTGAACTTGTAAACAATCTCCTCTCTTAGAACCTTTGTGGAGTTTAAGAATGCGAAAATCTCCCCCTCGTAAATGTATTTTAAAACTGAGAATTATACCAATACGTAATGGGTTAAATCGAACAATATATACCAACAGTAAACTTAGGCAATTACAAATGATATCAGAGCCAGCTAGACACCATTTGGTATGTCACGCCAAACTTGAAGAAGGTGGATTATCAGATCTCAAATCAGTTAGAGAGAGAAATAAAGATGAAGCTAATTGCGAAAATCTCTAATCAACAATAGAACAAGATCCATTTTGTATCATATCTAAGGGATTCCTAGGTTCGAGCCGAAGAAGTAATGTCACTCGATCATTATCAAATCGAGTGCAATATTTTTCTGTCCGAGAGGATCCCAATCCCAACAAAGCACCTCCTACTTCTAATAGGTCATGAACTAAATCAGAATCATTCTCAACGAGTCCATAAGGAGTGATACCATTTTTTTTTTTTCATCAATCAGTATAGAGACCAAAGGCCATGAATGGTGAGTATTTTAATTTTTGAATCCATGCTTCAGTTTCCTTATCTGGTACCACCATATTGTGATCCCCGCTGTAGATTAGGTCATAAAGATAAGCACAATATTAAAATGAAAACTCTGAATAAATTAAAGTTCAAAGATTATGGGAGTTCCTTAGAATCCCCGCGGAGACCGGACTGTCAAGGCCCTGTCATAACTGATAACACCTCAAAAAGAATGACCAATCCATTCTAACTCTTTAGGGGAAACATTCGCACACTTTAGGACCAATCCAATCAAACTAGCATAAAAAATAATTATTAACGACTTTACTACTAGTTCCATTGAAGAAATGACTTGAAATAAAAATTATCCATCAACACATAATTAAAAACTAAACAAGAGTAAATCATAATAATTTGTCTCAAATATCTATTTTATAGAGATTCTCCCGCTATCCATCTCGTAAACATCACGTCGCTTTCGTATGGCATGTATTCCGGCGTGTGCCCTCCACCCTAAAAAAGTAAATAAAAGAACACACAATCGATCACTTGTACACAAAAAAAAAAAAAAAAAAAAAAAAAAAAAAAAAAAAAAAAAAAAAAAAAAAAAAAAAAAAAAAAAAAAAAAAAAAAAAAAAAAA